CTGAAATGTAGAAGTTTCAACACATCCAATTGTGAGCAAGTGATTTTTTTAAAGAAAGAAAACTTTTTTATAATGACATTCATTATCCTTGTCCCACCTCTCTACCTTCTCTGTCCTGAGATATAAAAACAGCCCGTGAAGTCATGAGGAGAAAAACAGATTTGTTTTTGCCGAGGCAGTGATTTGGCTGCGTCTTTGTGACTGATGGGATAAATCAACCACAGCAGAGCCAGTTCAAATATCTGAAAGAGATATTTTTTAAGCTCTTCTGGCAGCAACAGCACGGCCAAATGTCTTTTTACTGGGTGGAAAAAGTACAAACCAAAGCAGTGTGTCCCACATCAGATATGTGTTGTTTTGAATGGACTGGACTTCCAGTGGTGGCAGCAAAGGATTTAGACATTTTTACAACAGTTGTTTGGATTTATGTGACTTTTTTAGACTTATTTATTCTTTTTATTTCCCCAGGAGACTGGGACATTTTCTTGTTGTTTTGTCAGTATATTTCCAGTCTCTTTTCTCTTTTTGGTTTGGGCTTTGCTTAATAGCAAAAAGTTAAGCCAAGATGCCATCTCTAATGGACATTTGAATTCACAGAATTACTGTATTTTATCAACGGCTGCAGCAACTAGTTATATTAATATTATAATAATAATAATATCCATCGTGTATTTCCCCAATTTTAGTCTTTAGCTGAAAATTAAAGGTGTTAAAAATGTGTTTGTAGCACCCCCTGCAGGGGGGTCATACTGTGAACTAAAACCAGAACCAGGGAGTGAGGGGTTTCCCCAGTTATGAATGAGAAGCTGAATGAAACAGTGTGACTGATTTTTGTTCCCAAAACAGAAACAGGAAGTACTAGAGCAGAAGTGTCTGATGTTTTTTTTCTTGTATGACAGAAAATGTTGACAGAAAGAATTGATTTTGTGTGTGTTACCATGAAGCTCTCCTCCTGCTCCAGCCACCGCTGGTCGTCCTCCATCTGCTGCTGCTGCATCATCAGCCTCTCCTCCATCAGTACCTGGCCTACACATCCACTCTCCTGATGAGAAGAAAAGGAAAAAAATAAACCAGCTGCTTTCAGAAATATTTTTACAGAGAAGCAACTCTTTCAGATTTTTGACTAGAAGCATAAAAATATTACATTAGCGGGAAGCTAATGAATTACATTAATCATCCTATTTGGCCCGGGAAATGATTGATTAAGCTGTCGTCTAACAAACATAAGCTCATGAAATTAAAATACATCTGAGGACTGAGTGGATGTTTCCCCGACCACTGACACTTTATCCTCGCGCTGTGGTCTGCTGGGAAAAAAACAACTGCGGCGTTTGGTCAATGTGCCAGAAATATGATATTATGAACTAACCTGCTGTTTAATCAAGATGTAATAAATACAGAGCTGAAGGAATTATGACATTTGTGTTTCAGTGATAAATATGGTACACTGACGGTTGCCTGGTTCGATTACAGACATAGAATGACTAAGGTATGTGTATATTAGCTGATATTTAGATTTTCAAGCTAACTTCATTACTTTTTATTTTTCTGCCTGACCTAAAGTTGTAGCTAGCATTAGATGTCAACATGTTTGTGCATGCGTATGTGTTCATACCTCCATGTTAGGGCTCCACAGAGCAGTGTGTTCAGGTCTGTGCTGATTCCAGGACTCTCCAGGAGGGAAACTGCCTCCAACGCCACCGTGGGCTGAGGACTGGAAGTGAATAAGTAAATAAAAAGAGACATGTCATTAAAAAGAATGTTGCATTTCAGACGCTCTCTCATCGCCATAGTTTTCATGGCTTCTGTTTGAAGCAAAATTTTATTGTAAACTAAAATAGTTTTACACTATAATACTTGAATGACAGGGTTGGAATCTGAATATGGCACAGAGCTGGATTTGTAGCCCAACCAGAGTGGAAAATGTAAAAACCTACCACCTGAGCTCTGCTCATGGGCAGAGACAGGAAATCAAGTGTTGAAATTATGTTTTGTTTTCCTTCATATAAATCAAACTATATATTTTCAACTATAGGAAGATTAGACAGAAAATTGTAAAACCATCAATATAGCTGATATAAAATACTCAAAAGATTTCCTCCACCAGACATGCTATACCACCTTATATTTTATAGTATTATATTCAAATATTGATAGAACTTTATTAAGCTCACATATCACATGGGTTAATATTGTAAACCCCATAAATGGGTAAAAGAGAGAGTAGCCCAGAACCATAAAAAGAGGATCAGTGTGTGTCTGTGTGTGTATGTGTGTGTGGTGCTGCAGGAAATGCCTGCTGTCTGCTCAGTTTATGAGGAGAGGAATAAGTGAACTCATCGTTTCTCTCCTTTTCTCTCACGTGTACGACACAAAACTCTTTGTTCTGTCTTCGCCATGTAATAGAGTTCAATCTGGAAACATTACTAAGGCCAAAAGAATTACACACACACACATATACACACACACACACACATATATATATGTACAGTATATATTTAGAAAACTATTTTTTATTTGTTTTTCACCAGCTCCTTAACTAATTTGTCTTACTTAATATTTTTATTTGCTCCTTAACTAATTTGTCTTACTTAATTCTGTTTTTGACTTTTTTAAATACCTTCCTAGTGAGACCAAGCCCTAAGGAGGTTCACAAAGGTTACACTAACACTACAGTAAAATGCCTATTTAAGTGAATGTTCTTATACCTGGAAGTGGTTGTGCTGCGGACTGGAGAAGAAGCCTTCACTGGAGCGAGGACTGGGGTAACCTGGTCTACTGGGCTACAAACAGAAAGAGACGTGAGATGTTAAAGTTTAAGCCCAAACAAAAAAAACTCTGACAGTAGATATAAAAGTCCTACTTTAGGCGGTGCTTCATCTGGACCTCCTGAATCCCATGAAACTGTGATTTGTCTTCTCATTTCCATTCTTAGTCTCTCCTCCTGCTGGAGTTTCTCCTCCTCCAAAATGGTGCTATACGATGTAGACATACAAAGAACAACACAGATTTAGTCAAACACAACAGTGTGAGCACACATGTTAATAACATAAGAATACTAAAATATATCAGTGTTACCTGAGCTGTGTCTTCAGTTCGGTAAACCTCGGCCTCTTGCTCGGATCATATGACCAGCACTTTGTCATCAAACTGTAGAGGGTGGGCGGACACTGAGGAGGCATGGCCAGACGCTCGCCATTCTCTATCCGACCAATCACGTCGTTGTTCTTCACTCCCTGGAAGGGCTTGATGCCGTACATCAAGATCTCCCACATGCAGACGCCTGAAGAATCCAGAAAACAGTTTCAAGTCAGGTTTCACTGACAAAGACACTAAGACAAATTAAAGAAAATGACCAAGTTTGGTCATTTTTATTGATGAAAACAAAGAATTTCAGTGACGGCGTGAAAGTCATGCCTTCTTACCAAACATCCAGACGTCACTGGCTGATGTGAACCTTCTGAAGTTGATGGATTCGGGTGCCATCCATTTAATGGGAAGTTTGCCTTTGGATGCTGAAGCAGAGATTACACACACACATGAGCACTGAACACTGAATAACTCCAGTCATATCCACATATTACAGTGCAAATTTTGAAAATTCGGTGAACTTTACAGACAGTATTTACAAATAAAGTAACGTTTAACTAAATCCATTTCATGTAAGAAATGGCTGCCAGGAGACTGCAGTTGCCTAGTTTCACCGGTAGATGGTGGTAAAAGCTCAAGGTACTAGGAACCAATGTCGCTGGCATTATCTGCCTAAAGAGGAGTTCAGTGATCAGTGAGGAGATCGTGTTTTTTATTTTTACATTTTCAAGTGTCAGCGTTTTTTTTTTTACCTTTGTAGTAGGAACTGTCCTCCATGTATCGTGACAGACCAAAGTCCCCCAGCATCACACAGTCCACTGACGAGACCAGGACATTACGGGCTGCAATGTCTCTGTGAGACAAAAATGACAGTTGTTGTTATCAGTGTTGCATGTTTGGAACCGAACAGATTACCAGGTGTAAAATGACCATCATTACATCAATATAATCCTAATCCAGAGACAGTCTCTGTCCTGCTCATGTTTACCTGTGTACGAAGCGTTTGCTCTCCAGATAGGCCAGCGCTGTACTGAGCTGATAGGCAAACAGAATGAGGGAGGCCAGGTCCAGGCTGTACTTCCTCACCTGAAGGAATGAACGCAGCTGCAGACGAGAAACAAAAACACAGGGAACTTTACTCAGAAATCTTTTTTATTTATTTTTTATTCAAGTATTTGATATGATGTATATTTGTACTATAAATGGCCGACTATTTTATACTTGAATTTAGGTTATTTTCAAGGCACTGCCATTGATGAACAGCAAGTTTTATAAAATCGAGAGCATGAGCTCACCTCTCCGAGCGTACAGAGCTCCATGATGATCCACACCGGGTTCTCTGTAATCACGCCGATAAGCTTAACAATGTGAGGGTGGTCGAACTGACGCATCGTCACTGTAGGGGAAACACAGCAGCACATTAACACACGGGTCACAGGAGGTACAGGGTGAGTCACAGTTTTCTCATGACTCACACACACACAACACTGGTCTTACGTGCTTCCTGGAGGAACTTTTCTCTGACACTGTCTGAAGTGCAGTTCTTACAGGTTTTAATGGCGACAGGCAGCCCTGGTTTGTCCTGCAGGAGACAATGTAAAATACATTTGAACATTATTCCTCTGACAGGACTATACGGTGGTCTGCATTAGTCTTGAGACACGCCTGTTGTTCTACGTACCGGGCTGTTGTAAACTCCTTGGTGCACATCTCCAAACTGACCCTCGCCGATGCAGCGACCCAACTCTATCCTGTCCCTCTGGATCTCATAGTCCCGGGCTGAACAGCAACAGAAAAGTACAGAGTGAGGGTGAGAGAATATACACCATGTAAGTTACTCAAACATTTAAAAAGTTTTCAAATTCGATGACTTTATGTCTTTTTCATCTAACTCTAATCCAATGGTTTGGTGAACATCTACATCCTAAAGCAACACACACACATACATACAGACAGACACACACAGCAAACTGAAACTGTGACTCCACTTCACAAACTTTATGACTTAGAGCAGCAGGAAAACACATAAACAAGCACTTCTGACCAATAATATAATAATTTAACTCCAAGTCAGAGCCTTAATAATTAATTGAGGTAATAACCTTAAGTGCTTTGTAGATGTTAACATTAGAGACCGCTTGACTAAGCTGGAAGAAAAAGGTCAGCGTAGACTTGGCTCCTTTACAGAGGGACTAACAGTGAGGACCAGAAACCTGAGAGTGGCTGCAGATTACTAGGCCCCTTCATATGTAAACAGATGCACTGGATCTGAAGTGCAGTCTGTGCTCAGCAGCTGAGACTGTATACACAGTTATAGTACGTTGCCTGGATTTAACTAATTTGTTGTCAGTGCGTAATAAATATTTCTGCCTCGTTGAAAAGGCCACAAAAACGACACAGACCCTGTACACAAAGCAGAGTCTACACTGTTTTTGGATTGGCTCTTCACTTTACTGTCAACACCAGATCCAAATAAACTGCACTCTGCAAAAAAAAACCTCCAACCACCAACAATCACAAGTCGGCAACAGACTGGACATTACATTCTTGGAGTCTGCATTTATTTTCCTTTGCCAAGAATTAGCTTTTTTTTTTTTTATGTTTCTACATCGAGAATAAACAGTTGTTCAGATACAGTCGATTTTCGCAATGACTGTTTGGATTAAATTAACGTCTCGCCGCAGATGTGTTCCTAAGATTTTGCAGTTCCTGGCAAAGTAAAGTAAATCCAAATCTTCAACAAAAAAAAAAGAATAAAGGTTTTTTGGGTTGGACAGAGAAAACAGAGACAGGCAGTTTTACCTTCAACTACTCCATAGCTCACTGTGTTGGCAGTGGGAGAAAGAGGAAGAAGAAGAGGTAAAGAGGGGGAAGAGCCAGGCAGATGTTTTATGACTGAAAATAGCTCAGAAATCACACACTTGCATGTTCAGGTACAGAAAACTGACTTCTGTGAAATTAGTTCATAGTTAATGACAAGGAACGAACTGTTTCTACCACTTGATCATTTTTGCCCCATGTAGCAGCCAGAAAACACTCTGTCACAGAGACCAGGGAAATATGTCAGATGTGTGTTGAGAGGAAGTCTGCTGCTGGGGGAACAAAAAAAAAACTATTTGCTGGACAAATAAAGCGAGACAGGGGAAGATAGAGGAGGACGGTGGAAAGACTGACTCTGTCCACAGTCTCCTCTTGAATCCAGGAGATCGCTAATTTGTAACAGTCACAGACGAGAGTAACTTTAGTTACTGTGTACGAGTGAACGTACAGGACTGAGGTACTGCGTCTTACTGGACCACATGGTCATCCAGCGTATAAGCTGTTCTTTTAGACAGTAACAGTGAATGATGGTAACCGCTGCTGTAAACTCACCGCGTTTCACTTCAGCTTTTCTGACTGACTTTTATGAGCGTGTTCTTGGAAAACATTCACACTGAGCTTGTTTTTATTAGAAAGCAGGCGGAAAATCACTCTTTTGCTCAAAAGCACCAGCCTTTGACGGTGAAATAAAACAGTGTACACGAACAGAACTTCCATATTTGTACTTGTGTTAGAGCTGAAATAAATGACTTAAAAAGTGGTGACTTACTGGAAGGCATGGTGTACGTGTCCTCTTCATCCACTATCTCGGCATAGTCGTCTGTTTCTGTGGAAACAATGAAACACTGTAGGTGCGAAGTAGAAGCCAAATGAAACCAGGGTAAACACACTGATGGTTAAAACAACACAGAGTCAGAGAACAGACAACTCAACTCAGCTACGTCCACTACTGTATGGAAATTCCCAAGAACAGTCAAACTTGTGCAGCAAAAAAAAAAAAAGATTAAAAAAAAAAAAACCTCCACAAAATGTGTTACCATGAAGCAGCTAAGTCTTAAAACTAACTTGGTTTTGACAACTTCTGCACAGCAGCACCCACGTAGCTGCTCTCTCTCTCTCTCTCTCTCTCTCTCTCTCTCTCTCTCTTTCTCTCTCTCTCTCTTCCACCTCTCTCTTTTAAACAGCACACACACACACTTGGCGGAGAATGTCAGCTGAGCATGTGTTGTGCATATCTGCCTGTGTGAGAGCAGCTGGGGTGCAGGGAGCCGCTGCGCAGGGGACGGAAACTAAGACAGAAAGTTTAAAGGAGATGAGTGGAGGAAGAAGAAGAAGATCAAGATATGAAGGGGAGAGGAGGCCAAAGAGAGAAACAAGGAGAAAAAGAGGAGGAAGAAATAGTGTGGCCTGTGAGCAGATGGCAGCATTTAAAGATCAACCGAACACAGAATTAAAGAGACAGGCAGAGGAAGAGAGTGGAGAGAGAGAGGAGACAGCCAGGAAGATGAGGACAGAGAGAGAAAGATGGACCGAGTGTATCCAGAGCAGATGGTGGTGTTTAAAATAAAATCAGTGTGCAGACTCAGCTGTTGGAAACCAGAGTCAAACATCTGCTGTCCTACAACACCCTCCCTTTCTTTACCGCTCTGCTTAGGATTCACGGAGCTGTGTGGAAATACAGCCCCAAAGTGATCAGAAATTTTAAGTTTTTTGGCCAGTTTTCTTAAGAATATTCCAGACATGTAGAATCAGCTGGAGGGCGCTCTCCTGAGGCACACACTGGAGGACGGCCAGTGTCAATTAATCTCAGGTTTTAACGCGTGACCCTTCCCAGAGGTCCGACCTCGGCAGTGATTCTCCAGAGTCTTTTGGCAACAACTGTTCTCTCAATGTTAAAACAATAAAGTGGGGATCGAGGGGGGATGCAGAGTGACAAAGTAGTTTTAACCCCGGTCGGGAAATCACAGTAATTTATAATTGTTCAGTGAGAATAGCAGTTTTGTAGGAAGCTCAGTGGAGAATTTGAGGCCATAGCTCTGTCGGCCTGGAGGGGCTCAACGATAGCTCTGTCTACAAAAGGGCAGCGCTGCAGAAGAAGTTTGGGAACCAGTGTTCTAAAGGCAAGGCTGTGAGCCAAAAAACATATCTCATGTGGAGCTGAACTCAAACAAAGGGGTTTATAACCTTCAGTGCTGCACTCTAGAGGCTCTGTGATGGTCTGGGGCTATATTTCAGATGGTAGTAATGGGGATCTGGTTATTCAAAGGGGAAGAGCCTTTTTTGTCAAAGTGAAGGGAATTATCAGCTTGACTTTGGTCCACGGTGTCAACAACATCCGACTGCTAAGGGGTTAGAAAACAAACAGTCGCTGGTAATAATAACAGAACCAACCCAAAGGTCAGAGGTCAGAGTTTTTGTCCAACTCTCATCAGGCCTTTCTAATTAGTGTTTTTCCCAGTCACTGCTTCCATGTGATGACAATTTTGTGCCATATTATTTGCTCTGTAACGGCTGATTTACTTCAATAAGACACATATTATTCACTGTTTTTGCATCGAATCATTTTTACTAGTAGCACATTGTTGCTACTGCACTGTGGTTTTATTTTATTTTTTTCTCCATCGAAGATTGGCTTTAGGTTTTACTGATCTCACTCTGTCCCCTTCTGCTCCCAGTCTCTCTGTGTGTGTGTGTGTGTGAGATCTAGTTAGCCCATTATAGTCAGGAATGCACCGTGCACTTATCCAGCAAACCTCTCCCTCCATCACTTTGTATGTGTGCGTGCGTGTGTGTGTTCTGTGTGCGGACAAAGAGAAAGGGTTTGGAGAAATTCCCTTAAAGAGAAATATTGCTCAATTTACAAGTTGTGCTTTTTTGTGTTCATCCTGCGGTCAAACAAAGACATATTTTAAATTTGGTGGTCATCCGCTTTGAAAAAAAAAATCGGAAACAGACACCGATATAAAAACACAAACATTCAAAAACACAATAAACAGTAAGCCACTGTAGCTACTTGAAAAAATGTCATGCCCATTAAAGCGAATGTTGATGGATTCATGTTTCCAGTAAGTGAAACATGATGGACAACACATTGGGCTAAATCACTGCAGTATATTACATAATAGACCACACATTCAAATAAAGCTTTGGTTAAAGACAGAGGAATGCAGGCATGAACATCTACCCACACATATGCTGTGGAAACACACACTGCTCTGTACCAGGTGGGAACTGGACGATGGTGAAGCAGGACAAGAAAGAAGGAAACACACACACACACGGACAAAAGGAAACAATAGTGTAACTTTACCATCCCCGCTAAGATCTTCTGCAGAGTCCAGGAGAGCATGCAGGAAGCACGACAGCAGAGAAGAAGGAGAAGAAGGAGTGTAAGAGAGGGAGAAAGAGGAGAGGTTAGCAAATAAAAAGCTCTGAAACGACGTGGGAGTTGTGGTAGAATCTGCAAAGCCAAACAGTCGCCGAGCAGTTAGTTTAGATCCAACACATCTCCAGCAGAAAAATGAGCGTTAAGAATTTGTTTTAATGTCAGAAATATAAATATATGCAAGAGAAAAGCATCTGTTAAAATGAAGCTGCGTGCAAAGTCGCCCTGGCACCGTGTGACTGTGTCCATGCTGGTTGTATGGCTGCATCTAATTCACTTAGAATCTCTATTGCCGGAACCACAAATTACAATTTTAATTTACTGCCAATAACAAAAGTTTCACCTTTACATCAGAAGTGCATTTTCTATTTTTTCATCTTTATTTTTTTATTTATATACAGTATTGTCTGTATGTGATAAGAGTGAGACTTTATTAAATGCAAAAGTATTTGTTTTCTTTTTGGAACTGTGTTCCATATTTATTGAGACCCAAAATCAGTTTCAGTACCAGTACTAGCAGGTACTCAAATGAAAGTACTTGAACTTGTAAAAATATGGTATTAGTACAACACTATTTATAACTAGAAATGACCAATTTATATCAATTTCCTTACTCTCCTATTAGCACATAGGCCTGAGGCAGGAAAAGGTTAACATTTCTGTGACTTTTACCCAGCACCAGCCCCAACAATCTTCAGAGCGACTGACTGATGCTGCCAAAGCCACAGATGGAGACACGAGGGCAAGTTCTGACCCACTTCAGATGACAAGTCGTAGCGCAGGACACAGAGTATGAAGAAGGACAGAGTTTCTTCAAAAGAAAAAAAATCTTTCTGCTCATCCTCATTATATATACAGAACAGTACAACTGGAGCTCATAGAGGTCGGTTAGTGGATACTGAAAAAATACTCAGTGGTTTAATTAAAATCTCCTAATGAACAGAGGATCCCTCTGTGTACTACAAATGAAACACCGCCTCTTTGAAATGTGAAAAGAATGATTAAAAATAACCAAACGTGGGCATGTGTCTGTCAGAGGAGCAGGCAGGAGCAGGGATGTTCTGGAGTCACATTATTTTGTCTTCCTCAAACAACCATCTCAACAATCATCTTTTTGTATGCCTTTAACTCCACATTAACTTAGATTAAAGCAGTGCTAGTTATAGTTCTTTTTGTATGCCTTTAGCTCCACATTGACTTAGATTAAAGCAGTGCTAGTTATAGGAGTTTAACTGCATTTTTTAATTACATCAACAAACAGGTTAGTAGAAGAGATCATTGATTAAGTAGCTCCTTCTTTTCAAAACAATCCAAATATAACATAAATATGTGAAAAATCTCAGATCACATATTAACTAGCCAGTAAACTACATATAACAACTATTATTCTCACATATCAGAAATTGGTGGACACACAGTGAGAGCTGAAGATACCGTTGGGTGGCGAATCTGAACAGAAGACAAAGGGGAGGAGGAAACGCCGTGCCTTGGTTGGTTTAGGAGGTGTGGATGTCACCGAGTCTTCAACCAATGAGAAGGCGGCAGAAACAGAAGGACCAGGGTGTGAGTGAAGAAAACTCAGTGAATGGATGACAGCGAGCGTAGGGAGTGTGGTGGTGGTGGAGAGGAAGAGATGGGGAGGAGGAGTGAGGAAGTAAACAAACAGAAACAGAAGAGAAAGAAAGAAGAAGAGCTGTCTCAACAGAAAACAAATGAGATATGAGAAGAAAAAAAAACATCTGAGAGGAAAAAACAGATGGAGGACAGACAGAAAGACGCACTGGAATCAAATCAAGCCTAAACCAGACTGTTTGTTTTGGGGTTTTTATCTTACCTGAGACGGAGATTGCCCTCACTCCACTCCTGACTGCTTCCAACTTTTTCTCATTGTTAGAAAGTCTAAAAAAGTGAAGAAAACAAATAAAATAAAAAACAAACAAACACACATACCAGTGATTAATTAAAGTAAACGAGTTATTTCCAGCATTAGACCTTTTTTGGGGGGAATTGTTATTTACATTGGCCGTAGTGTAGCAGAAAGCAGCACAAGCAGCTACGACTCCCAGTTCACTAAAGTGTGTTGCTTCAATTATCTCTCCGCCTCTGCTGTGTCTCTTTCCCCTTCTACTAACATCTTTTCATCAGAGACCACAACAGGCAGAGAGAGAAAAAAAGGAGAGGCAGGGAGCAAAGGGAGGGGATTTGTAGGGAGCGCAAAAACCCTGAGTGGAAAATATTTGGTTCCTAAAACATATCTCCTTTTTTGAGCAGAGACGGACTGAGAGAAGAAGGGAAAAAAAGAAGAAAAGAAAGAAAGAAAGAAAACGATTTAAGTCAAGCCATCGAAAGTGAGCATAACAGTCTGAGTCTCAAACGGCCGGCACGCTGCGTCCAGGCTGCTGCTCTTACAGTTAAAACAAACACAACTATCTCTGCCCTAACGTCACAGTGTTTTCGCTGTAAATCTTTTTAAGAGTCTGATGGCACTGAGCCAGAACACAGCAGAGCAGAGCAGCACTGGGGCTCAGTGTGTTTGTCTTTGTACATCTGTGTATTTTGAGGGAACAGTGGACTTGATCATATGCCTGGTTGTATTTAGTTAATATATATTCATAAAATATTGGAACAAAAACAAGTATTTTTTGCACAAATATGATTTTATCAGAAAGAACAACTTTACAGTTATTCCTTATTGAGAACAACAAAACAACAGTAAATATTGAAACTTACTTAGGGATGGATGGAAGCGCTCTCTCTCCCTCTAGAGGACAAAAGCACACATGATCATGAGAAACCACTAAAATATCAGGCAGGAGCACACATACATACATGTATTTTTCAACAAGAAAAAAATGCTTTTTTTTTAGTTTTTCTTCAGACAAAGTATAGCGGGTTAATTTACATCAGTTCAATAAAACTATATTTTTCATCTGTAAATGTTTGATGTAAAAATATACATCCAGATGTTAACATGTGAACATGACTTTTTTTTTTCCTGTGTTAATAAAGTATACAAATGTGTACAGGGGTCTCATACCTTTCTGAACTCGAACAATAAAGGAGTGAGTTTGCATAGAAGCGAGACGACAATAACCATCGATCAAGTCGGCCATGTTTTCCGCGGTGTTGAGAGACACAGTTGTAACTGTGAGCGGCTGGACAGGGATGAGATGAAACACAGCACATGTAAAAATGTCCTCAACAGAGGCTCAGTGATAATTTTAAGTCCTGATTCTTTAGGTGAAACAAATATTGCCTTTAAACTGAGGGCGGGGGGGTGCCCCAATTTTAAAATCTCTGTACATAGTACAGTCTATAAGACATAGAGACAGTGAGACAGTACCTCAGGAGCTCCAGCTACGTTGAGCTGCAACATGCCTTTCCTCTCCTTCTCCTCCATACAGGAGTACTGAATGGACTGGACCTGGTTGAAGTTGGCTAAATGTGTGGGCTGCAGTAAAAACACACAAACAGAGGAGCAGAGGGAAAGGTCAAAATCAAACCAAGTTAACGTGACGTGATTTGTTAATGCTGCCTCTTTACGTGTGTTTCTAGACCCGACTCACCGTGGACCCCTTGTCGGTGAGGTAGCTGATCCCATCCTCTGGCCCGATGGCCAGCTCCACCTGAATCACCCAACTGGACTGTTGTGATGCAAATAAAATAGAGAAAATGACATCAATTCACTTTTATTTTTTACCTTAAAAAACTCTCAGCGTGGTAGTTTCTTGACACACGCAATACCTAATGCCACCAAAGGGGGTCGCCCTTGTACAACAAACCACAGCTTGAGAACGCGCAGAGACTTAAAGAAGTACCTCAGATGTAAAAACATACCCCAAGGGCACATTTGAAGCACTCCTTGTCGTAGCGGTAGACTGGTGCCAGGATCTCCAAGAACTTCAGGATGCACTCCTCGTCGTTCAGATTGGCTACCTGCTTAAACGTCTGCTGGATCAACTTACGGAGAGTTTTAGCCTGTAGGGGACAAGGGAAATACAAGAGGCACAAGGATTTAAAAGACTTTTTTTAAAGTTTCATATTGTAAATTTTTTTTCTGGGTCTGACAGCTGGGAAGGTGTGTGTGCGTGTTTTGGTCTCTGTGGACCCAGAGTGACACGGGCTCTAAGAGCAGGAGACATTGATCGACTGTTAGTCCTGTGCGGAGCCATTAATCAAATTGACCTCAGCACTTCTGTGTGGGGGCCACTTTCAGACCAGATCAATATCTTAACAGAGACACGTTGGCTCAGTTATTTACCACTCAATTTACCGTCAAAGGCCACGTGCCCATTCATTTATACAGTAACTGAAGTCATTTAACACCAGGTGTAGAGAGATTGTAGAGATATTCACTGCAGCAGCAGCAGCGGCAGCAGCAGCAGCAATGTTGTCCCTGCAAGAGCAACACTCACACGTTCCCACCTGATTTATGTGCTATGTCACAAGAGAAGACAGATGGGAAACAAAATCCATCCTCGAACATAAACACACACACACACAGACACAAATAATACAGACACAGTAAGCCAGCCTTTACCCTCAATAACTGATCCTACAGCACTTGCTTTGTGATTTAATAAACAACCGTTTGACCCAGACATCTCTGTTATAATATAGAGTTTTATAATATGGAGTATAAGCAACATTTAAAGTACAGCAAAGAGTTTAAAATTACATACACTCCATATAGAAGTAAAGGAACATTTTCACAAAAGTTGATCTATATATACGTAGATTAAACTAAGATTAGAGCAGATTTAGAGATTAACAACTAGACTTGAAAAAAAGAACATGTTGTTGAGCATCAAATTCAGGTCATTAATGGAGCTGTAAGGCTGCAGAGCCGTGTTTCCAAAACCGTTTTTTATTCAAGGACCCACTTTTTGAACAATGCAAACAGTTGTGACCCAATTTCTCTAACAGGGCAGGACTAGTCTCACCTAAAGAAGAATGATTGATGATATTGCTGCAGTAAAATGTGAATTATATATATACGAATTACTGAGTGATTTTCACCATCCCTCAAACTTCAAATCCTATTTTTGGACTCTGATCTTCAAGATATTTCATATTTTTTTAAGTTGAAATAAGCTGCAGACTCTGAATATATTAATAAACTTTGGTTATTTTTACTAAACCTCATGTCCAGCGATGTCAATATAAATGAACAGACTCTGCTCTATATAACTGCACTCATCAGTCACTGTTTACTACCACAGCCATCTGCTCCTCTATATGTGTACAAGTGTGCTTTCCTGTGTGCGTGTGCGTGTGCATGTGCGTGTGAGCGCGAGTCGAGTCCATTGAGAGAAAATAATCCCATTAAATGTCAACTATTCTCTTTCACCACAGTGAATGACAGCAACATAAATGGCAGCTGTGCTCTCTTTTTTTCCCTCCCTGTCTCCGTCTTTCTGTCGTTTTTACACACACACACACACACTCACACGTACACACAAGACCATGCATGTGTGCAACAGAGCGAGCAGCAGATGTGTCAGACCTGTAGTGTAATAAACATTAAAACATCTGCTTTTCACCTAATGCTAAAACAAAACATAATCAATAATTATTAGAGGAACATAAATTTTTTTACTGGAGCATCGTCACGACTATTAAACTGACATCAGAAATAAGACAGACAGCTGATGGAGGGGGGCATCTGGGCTTAACAGGCAGGGCTGGGGGTGAGGCGGGGCCCTATAGAGGATGCACATTGTCGCCTCCCCCTCCCTTATTGTGAAGAAGAAAAAGTGGGTTTAAACCTGACCCGGGGGTCGCTCTCAGTTTTTCTCTCTCAGCAGAGCATCTGTCCGCCCGCCTGCTGACATCAGGACCTCTTTGGGTCAGTGGTCCTTTCTTTCACACACACAAGCACAGAGAGCCTCCCCTTCAACGCGTGCCGTAAATGTATCACTGACAGACGCTCGTCGCAGTTTTTAACACGAGCAGAAATGAAATCAAAGACAAAATCTGTCAAAGGTTTTACTAAACTATACTCAACATTAACACAAAGTAAGTGTCAAACCCCAGCCCTGGCCCTTGGTTACTGATCTGGTTCATAACCTATATTTGACCTTAAATCTAAATTTAGTCAAAATCAATTTGCTAAATTAAACTAATATAAAATATTGTTAATAAAAAACAGTTGTATTGACTAAGACACATTGGTCACATTTACAATAAACTGCAATGCAGCCAATGTTTTTGGGGGAATTCCTTGGAAATTCCACTTGATGTCTTTTTGCAGTGATGAAGATGTAGGTGCTCAGTAGACCAAGACTTAATTCAGACATGGGGGGAAACTCCTCCATAATTACTGCTCTACTGGGTATGAACAAACCCTTAAAAGTATCTAAGGCAGTGGTTGGACTTTGTCATGGAAGTGTTTGCTGACCCCAACCATATACAGACAAAACAAGCACTTTGTTTCCCTGAGTTGTTCCAGTGGAGTATAAGTGATGAAGTTTTTTTTTTTACCTTGACAGAATCCAACAGGTCCTTGGGGAAAAAACGCCTCAAACCAACATCTTTTCTGTAAACAGAGACAGATCGAGAAGAATGTTTATTATACTGTAATTTTACTCAGGAATGTTAATTGGCAGACGCTGCTGTCTGTATCTGATCTACGCAATCTTCCTTTCCTCCCTCTGCTGGGAGAGTGGTAACAAGAGCTGGATACAGATGAGCATCGGAAAACAGACAGCTACGACTCAGTATTTACTTCACAACACGTCTCATCTCTTCACGGGGCAGAGGAGGGAAAAGAAACAAAGACACGGGAAGAGGAAGGGAAGAAGAGTCAGAGAGGGTGAGACCGCAGAGAAGAAAAAGATGAAAAGAGATAACGCAGGAAAGCGGCTAATGATTTAGACTCCTCTGGAGAAAAGAGCATGAGGGGAGGATAGAAAGAGGAGGAGAAGAGAGAGAGTGTTGCTTTCATCATCATTCTTTTCCCAAGTTATTCCAACAAAGGTCAAAAAACAGTCAAGTCAAACTATTACTGTCCTCACTAAAAAGAACTACGAGCATTCAAATACATGTGATAGTAATAATGTGTAATAAGTAAAACATTCAGAGATGTACCGGCTGTGGAGTTTAGGAATAAAAGCACATTTAAAATGTCCTGTCCTTCCTTATGTTGTTTTAATATAAACACGATGAACCACATCTTTGAACAATCAGCAGAAGAAGCTACAAGGCAGAGGAGAGAAGAATAACTTTGAAAAGCGAATCAAAGGATGTGCACATTTAAAATAGAACCAGACCAAGAGCTAGAGAGAAGGATGAAGGGGAGAAAACAAGGCCAGAGGAAAGACAGTGTGCATTCTTGTGTGAAGAGCTTGTTGGACCACTGGACGGTGAAAAGAGTTTACTGGGAAAAGGGCAGATCAGGATACACAGGCCTCGTCAGGGTCACACTTTGTTGAAGTGTTTCATTAACTTCCATCTACAGAGGAGCTGTTAGTGCATCAACCCTTTGAGGCAGACGGAACAGAGCAGCTGATGAAAAATGAATGAGGATCAAGCATTAGTGGATGTGGAGAGGAGAGAAGATGCAACATCAAACTCCAGGCAGTTTTGACTGTGAAATTCAGCCTGTCTGCAACAAAACATTACTTTTAATGGATTTATAAAATGATCTCAGCCACCACTACAGCCATCACTGAACAAGTGAAGTGGGAATGTGCCACTGGTGTTTGGACCATTTGTGTCATCACGTCTGCTGCAAGTTTTTGTCGTGAAAACACATTAAACTGCTTGAGGTCAATACTGTCTGATCCATCACAGGGTAATACCAGACTGAATTACATCTCTAGCTATGTGTATACGTTCCTGTGCAGCAGGTAATCCCTCTGTGCCTGTGCATGGTGATGACTTAGGGCCAATGCTTCAGCAGACACCTGACTATAACCTGGTAGGTTGTTTAACAGTGTTTCTGAGTGTATAACACCAAAGTATAAATATTGAACATATTGTAACACATGATGCTAATTCAAAGGCATTCCAACAATGGCTTTGTGCCTACACAATGAATTGACACTTTGATTACGAAGAAACACGTAGTATTAATTATTAACATACTCTTGTCCTAATGAAATACTGCACTTTACAGCAGAACACAATGTTTCCACACAAGAGTATGCACTTTACACACTTTACAGCAGAACACAATGTTTCCATGTGGGTCTGTCATGATGTAGTTAGATTTTGGTCTTCATTTGGATCACAAGAAAACACACTCACTCCAGTAGTTCGTAGTTGGATTTCTTATCCAAGGCGTTTCCTCTCATATCTTTGAAGAACCTCCTGGAATCAAAGGGACACAGACGGAGAACACGGTCAACTCCATTTGCTGCAGTGAATCGTGCACTTTTGAAACATCTGTGACACGACGAGCCGTCACTTTTCATGACATATGTTTCGGTTTTTGTCCACAAGTGTGGACCACATTGTTCGAGGAAGTCACGTCAGTAGCAGAAGTAGTTTTTGCCAAACAATTATTTATAAACACTGACAAGCATTAACAATGTAAAAGTAATTGGAAACAGAAGTTACACCGTGTACTGCAAACAGAACACGTGGACTTAAGTCGCTGCTGACTCCTGACGGCACCGTACGTCTTACCTGATTTCTAAACAGCCCAGTTTCAGAGCTACATCTTGTTCTACTCGATCCCCGATCTCTGTCATGTAGTCGTTCTTTACCTGCAGGACACAAACACACAACATATGTTTTTTAAAACATTTATTTCTTCAAGACAAAACAGGCATACACACAGGCACAAGGACAGAGATTACCCACAGGCTAACATACATACACACACACACACACACACACTTGCTGCAGTGCCATATGTCCCAGTTCTGGCCACTGGCAGAATATGAAATATGTTTGTGTGTCTTTCAGAGTGTGTGTCTCTCTGTGTGTGTACCTGATGGTAGAAGTAGTTGAGTGTAGGTTTGTCTTCTGTAAACTGCTGCAGGAAGCCTTTTGGAAGGTAACGAATCCTTAATTCATACCTACAGTCA